TCTCTCTCTCTCTCTCTCTCTCTCTCTCTCTCTTTTCTTTCAGCTTTCTCAGGCCCCTATGTGAAAGTTCGGGCCCCATGTTGGAATGCCAAATGTATCAGGCTTTCTTTGGGGCTCTTATAACTTAAATTAACCTGTTTCTCTTCATCTACACTTTTCCTTGGGCCTTTTAACCTTTCTTTCATTCTATATGTCCTACTCTGTGTCTGATTGGCAGTTGCCTGGTTGGTTGGCCCCAGGCATCTCCCTTTTTTTCTCCCTCATTCTCTTCTCTCTCCCCTCTCTTGAGCTTAGATTCCCTCTCCTACTTATTCTCGCTGCCTGACAGCCCCATCTGTCCCTCTACTACCTAGCTATTGGCCATTCATTTTTACTTGACCAATAAGGTGCCTTAGGCAGGCAAAGCAGCACATCTTTACATCATTAAACAAACGCAGCATAAACAAATATGACACATCTTTGCCTAGTTAAACAAATGTTCTACAGCATATTTGAATTATGATTAACTCCAAAGATTCTTCACAGTCCCCACACAGCCCCATGAGATACAGTACTCCACAATATCCAGCATAAACTCTGATAGTTAAATGGTTCACCTGGGCTGTCTGTGATCTTATCCCGTTATTCATAGAGAGTTACAGTCTACTGTAATATTTGCTACCAAAACTCTAATTTTAGTGACTTGGCACTACTGAATTTCTCTGTGATACTGTTCACACCACTGCCTGCTTTTTACATATCACCTCAGTTAACAGTCTCCATGCCACCCAGAAAATAGCTTGTTGGGTCTTGGGACCTTATGAATATACCTATTTCAACATATCTGTTTCTCTGTAGAGTTTTATCCTTTCCTCCTCTTACTATGAGTTGTACAGGACCAGAGAAATATGGATTGGTAATCTATATCTCTGTTATATTTCCTCCTCAAAATGTAGCAACAAAAACACCACACATTCATTATCTCACAGTTTCTGTGCACCATGAGTCAGGTGCATCCAATTTTCCTTGTGCGTTAGAAGGTTTCGCTGAAGGTGTCAGTTGGCACTGGGGTCACCTGTGAGGAGACAGCTTGGAAGAATCTGATTCCGTGATCACTTCTGTGATGGCTAAGAGTACGTGATCCTCTGAAGCACCTGCAGTGAGAGACTCAGTGCTTACCAGGTACTGATAGCAGGCTGTTCTTGAGTTTTTGACACAGGATTCTCTCCCACTTAGTATGGGTTCATCAAAAAGACAATGATCCAAGAAGAACCTGGGTAACAGAGCTGGCCAAGGGGAAAGCCACAATCTGGTTAGAAGTAAGTGCCTGAGGACAAGGATATACATACATCTTGAATACTAGGAAAACGATAATAATTGGTGGCAAATTTCAAGGTTGCCTGCCCTAGCTAGTATAACGTATTTAGCAAAGAAGTAAAAATATGCATGTATAGTAAAATTATCTCTATTCAACCTCCACAAACTTACTATGTAATTAAACTGCATTTGTCAGAGACATGCACTGAGGGAGCATCATGGCTAAGAGAAGTTATATAAAAATAATTGAGAATTCATAATCGTAATTTTTCCCCCTGAGGTCAAAGGATACATGTGGTCAAGAAAAGAGACATAGAAGCCAGTGTTCCAGACATAGTAATTTCAAACAAAGCTTGATTGTCTATTAATCCATTCTAATTGGTGTCATTCAGGAACTGTGATTATTAGAGCTACCTAAAATAATAGGTAAGAAGACTACTGGTATTTCAGTCTATGGTGTTCAAAGATCAGTGATTCTAAACCACAGACATTTTTCTATTATGTAAATAGCCACATTACTGAAATGTAATCAACATTATTTTATTTTTTTTGCCATGTAGACTATTTAGTGAGGTGACCTCAGATTTCACTGCCCATTGGAACAACCTGAGGGGCAACATAAAATATGGACACCAAGTCCATGCCCACTACTATAAAATGAAAAGCCTACTACAGAGGTGCCAGACACTATAATTTGTGTCTCCCATGGGGGTTCCATCTTGCAGCCACTAATCACTTGTGTTGGCTGAAGATTTGTGACTGTGTACATTGATGTGCAGGGAGAATTCAGTGTATTTTTAGCTTCAGGGAAAGGGCTTTCCTAATCTTAAACAGAAATAGAAACTTTCCTACTGATAACCACAGTCTTCAACCAAAACCTCTATTTCCTCCTTGGTCCCTCTTATAACAGTGCATCAAACAATCAACAGCAAACCTCTGACATGCATCATTACTTAAACTATGTATTGTCTAATTCACAACTACGAGCCAACGAAAAAACAAGTAAATCTTATGTTTGCTAAGCAAGTAAGTGTGATACAAATCTTGCAATGTGCTTGGTCATTAAAGGGTCCTAATTAAGACATCTAATGATGTCATCACATAGCTACAGCAAGTCTTTGCCTGTTTCTTTCTATACCAGCAGAGCATGAATAGTGGACTGGTAGCATTCCTTATTTTTAGAAACCTTAATCACCTGGCCACTTGGGTGGAATTTATGTACCCCTTAAGCCATTACTGTGTCCCTACTATAAATAAATATAAGCTGATGTCCTTTCATGTAGATTACTCACTCTTTTTACATTTTTTTCAAAGGAGGTCCTGAAGGGTGAAGTCTAACCCACTTACCCAACTAGAGACTCAGATGAGACATCTACAGGGATGAGGACCACTGCAGACACAGGAGGTCCAGGGCCAACGAGAACAAGAGGCCGCAAGTTGCTCATCTAATTGAAGTTCTGAAGGACATCTGAGAAAAAGCAAGAGCCTAGGCCAGGAGTTCCTATTAAAGCAAGAAGGACAGGCTACCAGAGACAGAGGAAAAGAAGCCCACATGGCAGAACAAAGGCTCCTAGACTTTGAGGTATAGCTGAGCTGAAGCCCATTTTCCCTAAGAAGAACTGAACTCAGGGTTAGAGCTTTGTTTCTGGGGGAAAAATCATCATTCAGTTTTCGGCCTAAAATTGTTCTGTGCTTGTCATTGAAAAATAATCTAGGAAGTGAACCATGCTCCACATGGGGTACGAGATATGGCTTAATAGGCTTCCTATTCTCTTACCATTGAGTGTTTTGTGGTCAAACCTTCTGGGCCAACCTGACCCATTATGGATGAGCCATCAGTATAAAAATATTTTATCCTCCTGGATCACCAGAAACAATTATGAGTCTGTAATACCAACGATTACCTAAGAGTAGGTAATAGGGCTGTCCACCACGAGACTGAACCACACAGTGCCTAGACACATAATGTCACGTGACAATTGTTTAGAAGAAACTAAATCTAGAAAGACCCTTGGGAAATGGTTCAACAAGAGCTGACGATGAATCTTAATACCAGGAAGAGAAACTGTGTTTTCCATCTACGTTGATAATTTAGACAGGAGAAGAAACTCATCTAATTAGATAATCACCTGTTTATCAACACAAACAATAACAAGAAAAGAATGCTGCATGTGAGGACAGTAGCCCCTCAGCAGGGTATAAAAGGGGGTGCTGGGCAAGGAAACTTCCAAACCCAATATCTTCACTCACTTGTAAACCCACCCAGAACCTCCATCTCCCAACACCATGGTCAACTCCTGCTGTGGCTCTGTCTGCTCTGAGGAGGGCTGTGGCCAAGGCTGCTGCCAGCCCAGCTGCTGCCAGTCCAGCTGCTGCCAGCCCAGCTGCTGCAGGCCCACCTGTTGTGTGTCCAGCTGCTGCCGCCCCAGCTGCTGCATCTCCAGCTGCTGCCGCCCCTGCTGTGGCAGTTCCAGCTCTTGTGGATCCAGCTGCTGCCGCCCCAGCTGCTGCATTTCTAGCTGCTGCCGCCCATGTTGCCGTCCCAGCTGCTGTGTGTCCAGCTGCTGCCGCCCCAGCTGCTGTGTGTCCAGCTGCTGCCGCCCCTGTTGCCGCCCCAGCTGCTGCGTTTCTAGCTGCTGCAGGCCTTCCTGCTGCCGCCCCAGCTGCTGCATTTCTAGCTGCTGCAGACCCTGTTGCCGCCCTAGCTGTTGTGTGTCCAGCTGCTGCCGCCCCTGCTGTGGCAGTTCCAGCTGTTGTGGATCAAGTTGTTGCCGCCCCAGCTGCTGCATTTCTAGCTGCTGCAGACCTTCCTGCTGCCGCCCCAGCTGCTGTGTGTCCAGCTGCTGCAGGCCCAGCTGCTGTGTGTCCAGCTGCTGCAGGCCTCAGTGCTGCATCTCCAGCTGCTGCCGCCCCACCTGTTGCCAGACCACCTGCTCTAGCAGTTCTTGCTGCTGAGCGCTCTCACCCACAGTCTCCTGTTCTTCACCACCCAGCATTCCTGATGTGGCCCACCTCTGAGCTGATCCTGAGAGGCCCAGCATAAAGCCTCTGTCTTAACATACTGGTTTTTACCTCCAAAATACACTTTCCCTGTGTCTCTATCAAATGAACACAAAATTGATTTTTCTATGAAATCTGTAAACTTAGCCTTACATTTTCCTCTCTCCTCCATTTTCAAAGACAGCTTTCCCCTTTGTGTCTTAAATAAACTTTAGTTTTGTAAGCATACAAATGTGTATGTGTCTCATCTCTCCTTCTTGAATTGTCATCCTCACTTGTCAGTGTTTTAGCCCATCTCTAACAATGCTATGATTGCAGAAATCACAGCAGATGATTTCTGGTGTCTGCTGTGTTCCCCCTGTATTCATCTCCCTGTGTAGGAAGAAGATCTCATAGTGTAAGCACACAGATCCCCCTAAACGCCTCTAGTTGAAAAATGCTCTGTAGGAAGGTTAGAGAAGCCCCTGAGCACAGAGCTCAAGCAAGGAAATACAGCTGTGATCACATGCTCTCCCCTGCTTCCTTCCAAGAGGAAATGTGCCACTGTGGTATTACTGAGGCCCTGGGTATTATGGAAGCTAGTTGTCTCCTGTGGGGCTTGGCTCATTGTGGTCTCCATTAGCTTCCTCTTTGCCTGGTATGATCTATCAAGTTCAAATGCTTTCTGTGACTATTGCCCAAGTAACTACTTCATGTCTGCCACTGCTCTCCACCATATCTGAGACAGCCCACCAGTGAAGCAACTCAAGAATCTCATATCCCTATTCATGTGTCACCCAGCATCTACACAGAGACGACGTGAATGACTGTACAGTGTCAAGACCTAATCTCAGGTTTGCCACTTAGTGCATTGATGTATTTCATGAACCTGTAGCTATATCTTTCGTCCAATATTTGTGCAATTGTGTTATACACACATCTCCAGTCTTTTTGCTGATTTTTTAAAAAAATGCCAGATGGTTTCCTTTTAGAATTTAATACTTTAAAAATACTGGGTCTCATTATGACATTTTCATATGTATAGAATATAACCCCATCTCAGGTCTGTTGGCTTGCCCTCCCTGACACTAATCCCCTTTTTGCCCTCTTGCTAACCTTAATGCTTTCCATGTTAGTTCTCCTACTTTTTACAGTCCTTTTTTGGTAGATTTCACCTATGTGAGGCAACATTTGATGTTCCTCTTCCTGAGGCTCACTTGTTTTACTTAATATGGTGTTCTAGGATTTTTCCTGCAAATGACAGAATTTCATTCTTCCTGATGGGTGAATAATTCTCTATGGTGTGCATATGCCACATTTCCATCACCAATTCATCTGTAGATATACACTGAGCTGATTTGGGGGCTTGACTATTATTAATAGCAACCCCATTAACTTGGGTGTGCCAGGATCTCTACTGTATGCTGTTTTCAGTGCCTTTCTGTGCAGACCCAGGAGGACTATAGCCAGATCATTTCTGCTCTGCTTCTAGTTTTTGAGAAACTGCACTGATTTCCAGTTGTACCAGTTTATACTCACACTTGCAGGGTATAAGGGCCCTACTCTTTTGCATCCACTGTACCATTTATTTTTGTTTTCATAATGGTAAATATTCTGACTAGGGTGAGGTAGAATTTCAATGTAGTATGATTTATATCCTCCTGATGGTTAAAAAATATTCAACCATTGTTCATGTATTTAGTAGTCCTTTATAATTTTTCTCTGTGAAAGCATCTGTTTGTATCATTTATCCATTTATTGACTGGATCTTTTGGAGTTAAAATTTTTAGGTCTTGGGGCTAGAGAGATGGCTCAGTGGTTAAGAGTACTGGTTGCTCTTCCAGAGGACCTGGGTTCGATTCTCAACACCTACATGGCAATTCACAACTGTCTGTAACTCCAGGGGATCTGATACCCTTATAAAGACATACATGCAGGCAAAACACCAATGCCTAATGAGTTAGTTTGAATGTAAATGGCCCCCATAATCTCATAGGGAGTGGTACTATTAGGAGGTGTGGTTTTGTTGGAGTGGATATTGGGTATTGCCTTGTTGGAAGAAGTGTGTCACTATGGGGACGGATTTTGAGGTTCCCTATGCTCAGGATACCATCCAGTGTCTCAGTCAACTTCCTGTTGCCTGCAAGCCAAGATGTAGCCAGCATTGTCTAATCAGCCCCAGGTTTTAATTAATCTTTTGGGGGGCATACTGGAGTGGTGGGGGGCACATATGGTACTCTCTACTCAAAGAGTTATTGTCTATGCATTGCTTGAATCATTGTTCCCGTATTTTCATCTCATACTTTGAGAGTTTCAGATCATACATTAAGGTCTTTGATCCATTTTGAATAAATTTTTATTTAAACTTTTTTTTGAGAATTTCACGTATGAGTACTATAGTTACATCATTTCTCCTCCTCTTCCCCCTTACTCTTCCTATGCCTCCAACTCCTTCTCAAGTTCAGGGCCTCCTCTATCATTATTACTGTTTTACACACACACA